AAAAAGTAATAGAATTTTGGATCCAAAAATGATAAAGGAAACCTCAATGATCTGTTCATCGCTGCCTTGAGCAATATGTTCAAATGCTTTATCGATGAAATTTTGATATTTTGATAACTTGGTCTTTAATGTGTGCATCATCATCACCTGTTCTGTATGTGAATGCTTTGTCAATGGTCCATTGGTTACTGTATCCTGCAACGTTGACAATAATATTTATGACCCGGTTTCCACCATCTAGTTATGCTTCTTTTACAGGTACTCATTTTTGCTTACAATACTCATTTCAAAAAAGGAGTTATATGTTACCTGGAATAAACTGAGACGACTGGGTGATGATGAACGGGGATCGGCGATTGGCGACAAGTCATCAATAGTTACGTCCATTTCGGGTGCCGGTAAGGAGCAAACTCCAGCCGATGAACCTTCACTTTTGAAGCGTCTGTATTCTGATTCCTGCATAAAGAGACTGTTTCAGCTTATTAAATAATTCCAAACAAAAGTTTCTTATGTTTGGAGTAAAGCAAGATACTGATACAGAAACAAAAGTCTACTATTTTGCGATCTCTATGTTGACGTCTCCTCTAACTCATAATATTCCGTGAAAAAACAGGACCATAAGTCCATGAGCAATTAAAATGAGTGACGTTAACAACAAATGAATACTATGAAATATCAATTAAGGTAATATTTTTATATCAGATGAGAACCAATTCCTGAAAAAATTCATTCAAATTCCACACCTGCTGAATCTTGTTGCGAATCAGATGCAGTAAAGAAATTATTTTCTTTAGGGAAGCAATACCAGCGCGAATGGGACTATTAGTAATGCCGGTAATGTCACCAAAGACAACTGTCACGATTAGGTCACTACTCCACGGACGTACTCTCAGTTCTTATTCATATTTTGTTTGAATGCCTTTCCAATATAAAATTTCAAAATATTCATATTGTCGAGCTAGAACATGACAGGAAGGTCGAGTCCTGGCAACGCTCTGCAGATGACAGAAAAACATGGGCAATGACACGACGGCATTCCACACAAGTTTGACGTCAAGAAAGTTTCTATCACCTTTAACAAGCTATGTATGTTTGCATATATGTATATATATATATATATATATATATATATATATATATATATATATATATATATA